TTTTTTTTTGTATGTATGTATTTATATATGTATTTATTTATTTATTTAGCATGGCATTGCACCGCCTCCCCACGCCACACACACACACACACACACACACACACACACACACACACACACTCACACACTGAGCCCTGATTATTACGTAGTGAAATCATGCGAGTCATTTTCATCTTCTCTTCTGATTTGTTGTCCTGTGGGTAGTGACTTCCTGTCTCCTGTCCACTGGCTCCCTCTGATTGAACCTGCAGGAGCATGAAAGGCCAAAGGCCGGCTTGTGTCCTGCTGTCTGTGCTCTGTCAGCCGCATCTGACGTCTCTGAAGCAATTCCCCTTCAGTGTCCTATGGACATTAAAGCACTGCCACGCTTCTTGTTGGACAATGTGCAGACAGTCTGACCTGATAAAAAATGTCCAGCGCTACATCACTGGAATCCATATGATATGACGTATCCAGTAGCAACCATTAAGGACAATGCGGATGTTCACCAGCAGCAGTGTGAAGCAGGAATGAAGGGCCTTTGTTTTCTTTCTGAAGAGGCTTGGAAAAGCAGAGAATGACGAAACAAGGGTGCTGCTAGTGCAATGCCTGCAACACGACATCAGCACAAAAGCCTGAGTGTTGTGTAGTGAAAGGATTGACATGTTTGTAGGCTTAATGGCACCTGTCAAACCTAGCATTTCCATTTTTCCCTGCTTGAGTTTGAAGTAGCTGGCATGAATAGTTAGATTTGCTGAGATGAAGGCCTGGAGAAATGCTGTGTTTTTAACTTACTCACAGCAGGACAATTCAGTAGATCACTTAACACAGCACATCACACAGCAGTGTAGAACTTAGACACAGTGATGCAAAAAGGAAAGCCTGAAGTAAAGCTTTACCAACCCTCTTTCAGAAGTACAGACTGGGGAGATCTACAGTACTGTGCAAAAGTCAGAGACCCCCCCTTTGTTTATTTAATTTCCAGTTAAAACTACCATTGCGTGCAAGTTATAGATTTTTCAGCATCTGTAAAAAAAAAAAAGCAGAACAAAAAAATTACACAGAAGCTTTAACAACTAAATATGATATGACATCATTTTTCAGTATTCTTTGTGTTCACACTTCACTTCATTCTTTTCATCCTCCATTCTTTTCAGGATACTTGCTTTCGGTTTTTCAAAGAAATCTGCAGGGATATTTCTCCACACCTCCAAAGTTCAGTTTCAGAAGTTGCTTGTACTTTCTACTTGTCATAACCCAAGTAATCCCAAACACATTCAGTGATTTTAATGTCTGGTAAAAGTAGGAAAAACAGAACAGTAAATTCACGTAAACTCACTAGTTCTATTCAATAAATTTTGTATGAACCATTGTTTCAATCAAAGCTGTTGCCTCAAAGCAAGAAGGGCCTGGGTTCGATTCCCTGCCTGTCTGTGTGGAGTTTGCATGTTCTCCCCGTGTCTGCGTGGGTTTCCTCCAGGTGCTCCGGTTTCCTTGCACAGTCCAAAGACATGCAGTCAGGTCAATTGGAGATGCTAAATTGCCCCTAGTTGTAAATGTCTATGTCTTTGGATATGCCCTGCAATGTACTGGCGACCTGTCCAGGGAGCGATGAATGCTAGGATAGGCTCCAGCACCCTCCATGACTTAGAGGATAAGAGCTTAGAAGATGGATGGATAAAAAAAAATTCAATTGCTTGTTACCACATGACATAACTTTTTAGGCTGAATGGAGGAGCCATTTAACAGCGTATTCTGCTTTTACTATTTTGCTCTATGAAATTATTTCAGATTTACTTTAGCTGTTCAAATATGGTGTTTATTAAAAGTGAAGGGGCATCCCAAAATAACAAGGCTCTGATAACCTCTGGAAATAGGATATGGTTTTATTTGAAAATGCACATAAATGCTCTATACTGTAATATCTACTGAAAGCATCAAACATTTTGATTATACAGTGATATATATTTTTGGCCACACCACCCACAACAACTCATCTTCAGCTCATCCCAAAGGATGGAGCTCCATCACTCATTCACTGAATTCATTAGAAAAGGCTGTCTGGAGATTTCTGGATATGTATACTACTCTAGAAGATAGAAGAATGAGCTCAAGGGCCCTGGAATGCTGTAATATGGCCCTGTTTAGACCTGTTCCTACTACATTATTACAGAATGTTTCCATTTTAAGACTGTTCACTTAGCACTCTTTCATTTAGCATTCTTCAACCTGTAGCAGGCCACATGACATATGCTTACAGTGCAGGACATAATGTGTGTTCCTGAATAACTACATAACAAGGTGGTGATAATGCATCATCTGTGTTAAGTACATTCCACACTGTGTGCTTCAGAGCTCCAGTCTTACACTCTCATACTGTAATCCCAGCAGGACAGTTTGTGTGTGCCTGTATGTGTGTGTGCGTATGCTTGCATGTGTGTGTGTGAGCACGCCTGTGTATGTCTGCAAGTGTATGTATGTGTATCAAGTAAAGGCCATGTAAGGGTCCCTGGGCCTCAGATCCTGACATTGTGCTGCAGTTGCACTCCATCGATTCCCGAAAGGCAGAACCGACCTTGAGAAGCACAAGCTGTGCAGAACAATGGAGAGAATACTAAACACTGAGCTGCTGAACAATTCACTGTGTGCTAGTGTGCATAGCTGTGTCTGTATGTGTCTATTTGTCTGTCTGTATGTGGGGTGAGGGGGTGTTGAGCATGACGGTGGGCAATACGGCAAGTATCATGACATCATGATACAATACAACATTTTCATGATACACAAAACGTCACAGTTTTCTCTTTTTATCTGAGGCTCAAACAAACTAAATGCACCTGCAAAGGTGTAAAAGGTGTAAAAAGGCTGTAAAAACTATGAATACTATGATTTTAGGTCAATAATGGCAAACATAATTTATTTAAAGAGAAATTACACCAAAAGTATCTGCATAATTAAATCCTTAAGATATAAACAGAGTCATTAAGAGTGGTTTGATGTGAAATGCTTGGTGAAAACATAGCATTGTCTGTGCCAGAATCGTTCACAGTGGTGGTGATAGGAACCAGAAGTCTGAATCATTTAATGGCTTTAGAAACCTCAGATTTTGGCCTAAATAAATCTATTCATGTCCTAGAGATACATGCATGATAGATAGCTTTAGAAACTTTATTTTCAGATTTACTACTATTTTACCATCATCAACGTTATTTATAAAAACTCAGAAGATATGTAGGTACACTGATCTTTTTGGATAGCAGAAACATTGTATACATTGTGATTCCTGGTTAAAAATTGGTAGAATTCCCCTTTAAAAAGGAACAAGAGGGAAAATCACACTGTTTGTAAAATAAGTAGGGCTGGAGCCACTTATTGATAAGTGAAATCGATAAGTAGATTTTCTTTTATTTCCTTTTTCATATGCATGAGTGTTCTGCACTCTGAGTCATTATCCGAACTCCAGTCCTGGTTGTACTTCCTTTACACACAGATACAGATCAATGAGTTGCCGAAGTGAGTGAATGTCACAGTGGAGTGCTGTTACACAGAGAGAAATCAATCAGAAAGAGTATTTTTCATGCTTCATTATAGTTTAATGTTTAGTCATTGTGACTGCTTTTCACACAGAGTACATTTTTATGGATTTCATGCGCCGAAACTTTCACAATGCATCCTGTGCTCTTCTTAACGCTGCGATCTTGTGAAGAAGATGCAGTAGAGGAAGAAATAGATTTGAGCAGTTACAGTGACAAAGATATTATTTTTCCTTTAGCCAATGTGACTCAAAGCAGACCCAAAAAAATCTGATGCAAGATTCAACTTCTCACATGTAAAAAATGTTAAAAGCTGATTCTGGAAAAAGTTTACACCATACAAACATTTGCTTCATGGTGCTATGTTCATGTATCGTTAAGCCTAGAAACCTGAATTAAAGCCAGCAGTCATAATTTAGTAGGTATCTTTAGTAGCTCACACGGCCAATGAGAAGTCTGTATGTATATTATTTTAGTCTGCTAACGTTGCTATGAAACACCAGTGCCTTAACATGCACTACTGCCTTAATATACAACATATTCTCCATCAAGCTGAAGAACACTTTCACCAAGCAAAGAACCATTTAAGCATGCAAATGCTTCTTTGAGTGTTCATGGTTCTATATGAGCCACTGACCCTTGAAGAACCATGAGTGATGTTTACAGCCTCTATATATCTATCTATGGTCTATATATGTCTTTATGACACACGCAGTTGTTCAGTACTGATGAGACCCATGACATACCCAGAAAAGCATGTTGGGAGGTAGTTTATCACAATATGATAAAATATTGCTATAACGCACACCCCTAATTCAACAGCAGGTACCAGCCTTTGTTTAATGGCAATGTACACTTGTCCATTAGTCAGGCCACTGTATGTGCCTATAGTGCAGCTGTGTGGATATAAGCATGTATAAATGTATAAACGTATAAAAGTGTATGTGTCTGTGTGTCTGTCCAGTCGATGTGCTGAGACAGGAATGCACACTGCTTCTCCAGTGTGTATCGCTGTGTGGATTCAGCTGTCACGCTCCGTGATGGTGTTTCTGCCTCTCCATCTAATCTACTTCTATGTCAGTATCACGGCCAGGATTCAGAAAAAGCAGTATAATAGTAATAGAAACGTTCCAGACTTTGCACAAGATGTATGTGTCTAAAGAGAGAGCAAGAGAGAGTGAGAGAGAGTGAGAGAGTATGTGTGTGCGTCTAAAGTCTGCAGTTTTGGGCAGTGTAATTAGAGTTTTTTGTTCTGGAGCTGGTAAATGACCTGTCTCATGCGATCGCGGCAAGGCTAAGAAGAAGTGATGTAGTAATTGCACGGCCTCTTTAGAAGAATTGCAGCCTGTCTGTCTAACAGCTATTTTAAGTGCCGGAGCCATTGCTGAACACTGCAATGGCTACTGCAATAAAGGACTCCAGACATTTCTGTCTTCTCATCAGCTCCTCTCCCTCTTTCTCTCTTTCTTTCTATCTCTCTCTCTCTCTCAGTGGAGGCCCTTTCTGCCTGGGCTGAAGTACGATGTCATTGACTCGGCCTACATCTCTTTGTACACAGGTAATTGTCACTCTCTGCATCTTTTTTCTCCAGAAGTGAAGGCAGAAGTTCTTTGTCTTCTTCTCATCAACTTATCAACTTCTCATTAACTTAGCATTGTGCAAATATACACAATGTGTATGTGCAACAGTTAAAGTCCCTTCATTTATTTCATTTCCAGTCAAAATGGCCTTGAAGTTATTCACTTTTCAGGCCCAGGAAAAAAACAAAACAAATAATCATATGTTTAACCCAACATTATCCAGAAGCCTCAGCAAGTAATATGAATATAAAGTTCAGTCTCAGAAGTTAGTTGTGTTTTCTGTTTCTCCGAGTAATCCTAAACACATTCAGTGGACTCTGGGGTGGTCAGTCCACTGTTCTGTGAACACCAACAGCTTCTTTGTTTGATTTGCAAATGATTCATGTTTTTGTGTATTTTCTTTTCTCAGTGAGGCTTCTTGGCAGCTACACATCCTTTCGGACCCATAGTGTTGAGTTTTCTTCTCACAGTGAAATAATGGACAGAAATAACTGGATTTTTCTGATTTTCTCCTCTCTCTCAAAGAGGAAAGCTTTAAGTGCAGTTTAGTGCTGATGGGAATGGTTTGTCTTGCATGGTTGTTAGGGTCATGCTTTCTCTGTAGCTTTTAATCATTATATCGCTGTTGTCGGAAGAAAACCTTTTATCTCCAAAATGGCAACTTTACAGGAGAAGGAAAGAACCTACTTTACTTTTAATGTCAGTCAGTGGAACCAGACTTTTTTCCAAGTTATTTTGGGTCATTTCTTTTGGTCCATTCATCATGAAATTTAAACACAATGTTAAGGGCAACAGACATTTATGTCAAAATATGTCAAAAACTGAAAAAGTTTTTGACAAGGTTTTCTTCCGACAGCCGCGATATATGTTTATATTATTAATCATTATACATAACATTTTATATATGTATATATATATATATATATATAGTAGCAGAACCATATTTGGTGATATATACCAAATATACCAAATATCTGATTATTCATAAGCTCATGTAAACAGCACACCCTGATTTCTTAGATCTGAGGAAGGTCTAGACATCAAACTAAGAAATCCGATAAAGAGAGTCTGTGCATGTGCGAAAACAAACAGCGGTACCGGAAATAAGGGAGCAGCGTTGCCACAACTGACTACATGCTTGAGGAAATGAAGGATTTGAATATTCTTCATTTTCTAGATGATGTATGTTCATATTTTAAGGTAAAGTGGGCATGAAGTTTGAGTTTTACATTACGTTCACATCATGTCTTCTTCTGTGAGTTTATTGGCCAGTTACAAGGCGTAAATCCAATTTCTGCCTGACTCATGTAGACCTGGAGTTTCCCCATCATCTGATTACTCAAGTGCATGTAAACACGTTGATCAAATTTTTGACAAAATCTGATTTTCTGCAGTCATCGGATTATTAAGTGCATGTAAACACACTCAGTGACTCACTATGTGCATAGCCTATTGCTCAGTAGTAACTAATACATAATGAAAAGTTAATAATATATTCTAATATATTATTTGAGGCTAATCAGTGATGTATAAACAGCTAAATTGTTAATTTGCTACCTTTAATGTAAAGTGTTACCAAACACTTAATATCACAGACATATACAACACGAACTGAGTCAATAATTTTACTAAGCAGTCGTGACTATTTGCAATCAGACAATGCAGTTATGAGGTCTGCCTTGTGCATTAGGCTGAATTTTCTGTGTACTGTGAGTATTGTTCCCTTATCTGCGCTTACACATGTTCACCCCCCCCTCCCCTCCACCCACATCACCCCCCATCAGCAAGGGAACGTACATTCATTCACACATGCTTTTACCGGGGAGCACAACGAGTGCATGCCCACGATCCCTCATTTATAAAATTATTTCAGACTAAAGCCTTTTTTTTTCCTTTTTAATCTCTGCAGAAGTTAACAAGCTGAGGGAGAGAGGGACGTGCATTAGCTAACACAGCCCGCCCCCTCTCACCCAGAGAATAGCAGCTCAAGTGTAGTATGCTGTCCCAATCATTAATCACCCAGACTTCTCCCTCAGAGAGGAGCACAGACTTCTCCATCAGAGTGGACCACACAGAGCATACACATGCAAAAAACACACAAACACAGAGGCACGTTCACTTGCGGACAATCGATATGACTAATTAAAATGTGTTTTCATCAGCAGCCAGTCAGGCAGACACTTGTGAAAGCTCTCGTAATGCTGGGAGGCGAACCTTAATGAACTGACACGGCACACGCACACACTCTCGCATGGCAAGCCTCAGCGCCCACGGGCTAAACTACAGGCGGTCATGTTAAGGAGTGGTCAGGAGAAGATGTTCAGGTCCATCTCAATAAGCTTCAGGGGAAATGAAGTATGGACATGGATCTATTCCCCAGTGAATTCAAAATTTAGAGGCTTATCAAAGGAAAATCTGTACCCCTAAAGTTATTATTTAAAACACACACAAAAAAAAATTATGTTGAATAAAAAAATGTTATATTTATATATTTTAATGTAGTATTGCTATGCCAAAGAAACTACTAAATGTGGCATAGGACTGTCCCTAAACCTCAACTCTCATTAAGAATGCGAAGATCTATGAATATGCATGATTATGTAAAATATAAACGTCCCCTTGCTTCCCCATTTTTAAACCCCACCCTTCCCCCACTACCCTGTACCAGTGATGCACGACTCCAGGTTTTCTGGAATCGACTCAGACGCTGGACTCCTCCCACTGTTTCTGACAGTGCCAGAAACAATGATAAAGGGACAGAGCAGACGTTTAACAATCCTTGCTACAGATTATAGAGATATGATGAAAATATGTATACCTGCATTGTATACCTATAGAATATCAGGTAGCTTAACAGATGATAACAGCTGACTAATGATGGAACACATCATACCATCAGATATTGGCCTATTTCGTCTAATGAGGCTGCTGAAGGGGGCTTGAGCTGGAGCTACAGGGTGAGAGGAAATGATGACAAAATCATTACTATAGTCATAATACTTTGAAAATGAACCATTATGAGCCAGTTAACTGGTTTTAAAGTTTTTATTCCAGAGCAGTATTATCCTCTGTTCTTCTTTTCATGAGGCTGAAGTTGGCTTCTTATCCAAATTTTCCCTTCCACCTTAAACAGTGTAGCAGTTGCACAGGCAACCTCATGTAACTGCAGCTCTATTTGAGGCGGAGAGGAAAATTTGAATAAGAGGCCAGTGTCAGCTGCATCCTGTCTTCAACATTTTGTAAAAAAATATTGTTTCTAGTTTTTGATTTTGTGCATTGTACCATTTCTAGTTATTATTTATCACAACTCTAATCACTAAGAAAATGAAGAGTGGTGTCTTGTCGAGTGAAATGATCTTAAATCTAGTCTATATATCTGACATTTCCCATTGTGAGATGTTTTTGCTCTTTATTATAAGACTATCTAGCTCAATTCCAGAAATGTTTTACCTGTTTGAGGTCATTTTATTAAGTAAAATGATCTCACTATGCTGGCAGATAATTTTGCTGGTTTTGAGCACATTTCTTAAAAGCAATAAAATTGTCTGCCAATATAAATGTACTTAATAAAATTACTTAAAACAAGTAAAAAATGTCTAGAAATAAGTTAAATAATCTTAAATTAAGCTTACAACAATCTCAACAGGAGAAATATTAGATTTCTTGACTATATTTAAGATAATTTTACTTGACAAGTTACCATTTTTGTAGTGTGGGGTTCAGTGTAGATGCAGACATATTGCTTACAGCAGCTGATGAGTAGCATTGGCATATTATGATGTCTGGTAATAAAACAAGAGTTGACTACAAACGCCAAACATTTTGAGTACGCTACATTAGCAGAGCTTACATTATTGTAATATATTGGGCTGTGATAGTTTCAGGCTTACTCATGATGCACAAATCTAAGTTGCTGCTTACAAATTGCTTTTTCCGGCTGTACCGTGAAAGCCTCTGTTCTCAATGGAAAAATTATCAACAAATTTTATACAAATATCAATCTATTATCATAATAAGCGTTTTACCATATTAAAACCACATTTCTGAGTGCAGGGGTGTGTTTAAAGGGACCATGTGAGGAAAACAACTGAATCTCTTGTTTTTTTAAATAAAAGTTTGACATGCTATGTAAAGTGTCGTGGATTTAAAATGTTCAATCTCCTCCTAGCCCTGAAAAGTGGTCTTACTGCAGACAGTCTGCAGCAGTTATTGGAGTGGAAGATGTATGGAAATTTATAAATGTGATACTGTTTATTGAATCACTGCTGCATTCCAGAGGACCCAGACCTCTGAATGGAGTCAGTGAAGTTCATTTTTTCCGACGTCCCTGACAGATTCTGTTAAAACTTAATTTTATTCCATACATTTCAGCCTGCTTTTGAATAAGGCACAATAAGGTCAATCATAACAGCGAATAATTACATACGTCAGTCTTAAAGGCAGTAGATAGCAGCATAGGCGCAAAAGTAACCTGTTTAACCCCTTAAAATCCCAGACTTATTACATCTTAAGGGTTATTACATGGACTACAATGCAAAGTAGCTGAGTTAATCTAAAAGGTTATAGGAGTGTGGATCCTCTGGCAGGTCCTGACTATTTAAAGGCTTAACTCTAAGACATAAAGAGAGGTTGGAAAATGAGTTATAACCATTTTTAGTACATAAACTGTAGCAGTTCCAGAATTATTGGCACCCTTGGGCTTTTTTGTCTTAGACTAAATTTACTTCAATTGAATGTTAGATTTATCTCATATTTTCAGTGTGAGAGCAAGTTAACCATTAATTAACCGCATGACATTAACAATTAAAATATTTCATTTTTTCCTGACTTTCTTTCACCCATCTTTAACAAAAGTGGCAGTAAATATAGAGCTGACTGTATGCAAATGTTAGGCCACATATACAGGTTCAGTGCAATTGTATATATAAAAAATATCCACTGCTTTGTTACGCTTGCTTCACTACCAGTCCACCACTGTTTTACACTTACTTCATGCTTTACCATAACTGCAGGATAGTGTTTACAGTAACTACATGTTTTTCATCTCGGCCTGCGCTGTCCATTGTCCTTCACTGACAGTGGTGTTCCAGTGAGCTGGAGGGGGATCTGACAACACTCCTCTTTTCTCTTTATCTCTCCTTCAGATGAGTCCAGCCTGAAGATGAACAGTGTAAAGCACATTCCTCAGACCTTGGCGAGTCACACACTCTCTCTGCAGGAGGTTCACAGCACAGAGACACATACTGCGGACATGCTCAAAACAGACCCACGAGACACTTTCTACAAAAGTATGTATTGTGTTTCCACGTGTTTCCATAAAACATAACTCCAACACTGCTGAATCTGTTGCAGTATTCATAGTAAGGGTGGGCAATATATAGCATATGTGGTTGGTGTAGCATAGTGGATAAAATTTCCCCACTATGCTACACCACGCTATACTAATAAGAGTGAATGGGCAAGACTCCTGATTCTAAATTTGCTAGCACTGAACGATTTGGGAAAATATCTCATTGCAATTTTTCTGGTCAATATTTTGCATAGATTATGTTCTATGATTTAAGCTCCAGGCCTTTTTTCACCAAGAAGACAGCTATCAGTGTACCAGATTGACAATTCACAAGCTCTGTTATTAGATTAAATTACCCCACTTCAAAATTGTAGGATATAATCAAAATGGCAGCTCCTGCGATTTGAAAATTGTGCTGCAATTTCCAAAAACTGCGATTTTACCATAAAAATTAGTCCTAACATTCACATACCTGTGTAACATGATTGCAAGTTGCCCTGGAATCTAAATGAGAGCATCTTCCAAATGCTGTAAATGCAAAGTAACATTGCAAAAATATAACATTTCAATGCTTGAAGACTTTTTTACAATACATGCTGCGACTCATAGTGTTTTTCTGAGAATTATTACCAAGTTGGAACAAACAACATGCACCAAATTTCATGTGGGTGATTTAAAAAATGATCATAATTAAACATATACATTCTCAATAAATTGGCTTAGTGATTATGTCACAATTTGAATGATAAACATGGCATCTGCAGGTCATTACAAAGATTCTTAACAAGGGGAAGCTGTTAGTACTCAAGTTGCTTTTGTGTGTGTCTCTGACAGTGAGGAGACCCACTAACCAGCAGGAAGAACATGCACCTGTTTGTAGTCACAAATTGCATTTATATGAAGTAAAATTAAATGTTTCCTTTTACAGATTGTGTGTATGTGAAGTAAAAGAGGAGATGAAGTAAAAGGTTTTGTTTAACTAGGTCTGGGCTAAACAACTCAGCAGACCACTAACATAGTACTATGTTTTAGGCCAAAAATATTCAGTTAAGTTTTACCAAAGGATTCACTGTAAAGTTCCAGCATACAGAGTAAAGTAGCTTCATGTACCACTTATGTACCAGTTGCTGAGCGACCTAGAAGTACAGACGATACCCATGGCAAACTTAGAAAAGTGTATCATGATATAATTCAACATATCATCATATTGCTCATGTCATAGCTTACATTTTTTATGACGTCTTATGCTAGAGAGTTGAACAACTCTGACTGCCAGCTGTCCTCTTCTACTCAGTAAGGTTTGTTCTGTTTAGTTTGTTTACTTCTGTAGCCTCAGTGGACACAGTGTTTTCTGGCCATTGTGGTCCAACACTGAATTACAATATCCTCACCGCACGGCTGCATACTAACTCAAAGCCGTCTGCGCATGGACAGATGCAGACTTATTCTCAGACGTACAGTCCGCTGAGGTTACTCCAGACTGCATACATACTAATGCAGGCTGGGCTGCTTGTTTGTGTGCATGTTCCATGATAATCCACTAAGCTTACACAGTTTGTCAGTTTATTGAAGACTCGCTTGTTAAAAGATGAGACCCTGGCTTATAGTGCAGGAGCTCAGGGGGACAAGGATTTAGACGTAATTCTTAATTAAACCTTTTTCTGAAACAATTTTCTTCTCTAATATGTTCACAGAAAAAAACGTCTCATATTATCTGGAGTTTGTAGTAGCAGATATTATAAAAGGCTTATTACAAAAGCTGTGCTGGGGAAAGCATACTGCCCTACAAAGACAAAGGGCAGTAATGACAGTATGTTGCCCAGATGTAATACTGTGCAAAAGTTAGAGACCACTCTTCATTTCACTAATTTCTATATATCGTAGTTGTCAGAACAGTGTTTTTCAGTTTTTGACATAATTTGTAAATGCCTGTGGCCCTTTACATTGTGTGCAAATTTCATGATGACTGGACCAGAAGAAATGACCCAAAATTACTTGGAAAGAAGTCTGGTTCCTTTGACTTACATTAAAAGTAAAGTGGGTTTTTCCTTCCTCTGTAAAGTTACCATTTTGGAGATTTGGAGTTTTGTTCCGACAACAGCAATATATATACGATAAATACAGACTAAACTAGAGGCACAGAAGTGTCCTGGTATACATACACAGTTTGTATATGTATGTGCAAAATGTGCAAAATATGTCCACCATTCTCAGAGGTAGGTCCTGTGTGTAAATTACTGAAGTGTATATACAAATATATAACAGAAAATCGCACAGAAGCCTCAACAGCTAAATAGAATATCAATTTTTCTCTGTTAATGTGTCCACTCTTTACATTTATTACAGCTTCCATTCTTTTTAGCAGGCTTGCTTTCAGGTTTCCAAGAAATCTGCAGGAAAACTGTTCCACACCTCTTAAGTTCAGTCTATTGTTGGTTTTGCATTTTTTGCTTCTCACAATCAAAAATCCCAAACACATTCAGTGATGTTGAGGTCTGGGGTGGTCAGTCCATTGCTCTGAAAACACCAGCAGCTTCTTTGTTTGATTTGCAAATGGTCTTCTTTTCTCAGTAAGAGCTTCTTGACAACTACACTTCCTTTCAGACCCATAGTGCTGAGTTGTCTTCTCACAGTGGAAGCATGGACAGAAACACCTGCGGATATTTTCAAATCTGAAGCAGCTTGATTTTCTTCTCTCTCTCGAAGATGAACACTCTAAGTCACATGTGTCAAACACAAGGCCCGCGGGCCAGATCAGGCCCGCAACACAACCCTCTCCGGCCCGAAGTGTTTTAATTTTCAATTAATATTGGCTTGTTTCACAGTATGCTGCACTACAGTCCCCAGCATGCACTACAACATAATGCATGGTCTGACTCTCCTACCCCAACAACAATCTATGGGACAGCGGTTACACCTCAATCCTACGCCAAACACACTTTCTGCATTTCAGCTGCAGTTCAACCAAAAAACACCTAATGTTAGCTCAGAAATTGAGCCCAAGTTTTAATGAACTTGCAGCAAGCAAAGGATGCCAGGTGTCTACTTCAAGCAGATAGGTAGGTTTAAAAGACTGAGCTCCTGGGGACATTTAAATTTTGAATATTTCAAATGTCCATGTAATATTTCAAGGTCTACTACAAGTGTCTATATTTTACTGCTGACGTTTTTGCGTGTTTTGAATAAACAATTAACAGCACAACATTAATTAAAAATGAGATATTTTTTTATATGGACCCTTTAGTTTGAGTTTGACACCCCTGCTCTAAGTGCTGGGGGCAGTTTTGGTGGTCTACCAGGCCTTGCATGATTGTTAAGAGTCCCATTTTCTCTGTATGTGTACATGAGTGAGTCCTTGAACTAGCTGCAGGTGTGACTGATAATAGAATGGTGGAGAAAGGGAGGAGCTGAAACTGGAGTGGGCCAATCTCAGATGGTAGAGTCCATGAAATTATAGGCTTCTGACTTTTACACAGTACTGTAAACATGTTGAAGGTATAAGTGATTCTGCTACACCTATATCTGCCAGTCAGTATCATTTAACTATATATCCACAGCATATTTGACAACAGGGGAACCTTCACTTGCTAGACCTCCATTTAAGCTGTTGAATGAAATTCAAGTTTTTATCAGCTCTGTAAAAGAGAGTAAAACTCTCTGCGTCATGTTCGTAAATCCACTATAGAGAAATATGGAGTGGGTCTACAGACAAATCGTTAATTTTAAGCAGCTTAATATTGTTATTTTTAGAGATGTGTTTTACACTGTAAGAGACAGAATGCATGGACTAACATAATGGCTCAGGAAATATTCATTACTCGGCAGCAGCACTTTATGATTAGGAGCAATCACGGATTGCGGCGCTGTTTACTGTCTAATATCGGTGCTTTGTTTTTATGTTTGGCACGCTTTCATTTCTGCATATCTACTGCTGCACAAAAACGGAACAGTCAGATTACTTCATTTTGGATATATTGACATTGTTTATTCAACAAATTATGTAAGTAGAAGTATTGTTACTTTTGTACAATAATGCCTCAAGTAGAAGTAAAAGTACCTTTCCAGAAAATTAGTAGAAGCACAAATATGCCATGTCAAAGAAGTACCTAAAAGGGGAACCCCACCAGTATTTCAAAATTTCTGCATAAGTAAATGGTTAATGGTTAATATTAATAATAATATTAATGGATAATATTAATTAAATATAGAAATGGTCAAGATGCGAATAAAAATCATTCAGGGTGGTTTGATGTGAAATGCTTCATTCCAGAGAAACTTACTGAGTGAGAATCACTCACAGTGGTGGTGACCCAGGAGAAACCAGATGTCTGAAGCATTTAATGCCCTAAAAGCTCCCTCACATAAACTTATTACAAGTAATGGATACCAACCTGCTGCCTAATTACTGAGGCATTGTTTTATGGTAGTGTTATGAAAAGATTTTGGCCTAAAAATCTATTTATGGCACTGCAGGGCTTTATGAGGCAAGTTGTACCTGAAAAAATGTTACCTCTATTTTACCTTAGTCAGCATTACAAATAAAAACTCATCAATGGTGGTTTTGGATAGTAATTAAAATGGCAATATGTGTAGACATTGTGATCCCTGGTTCCTATCACCACCACTGTAAAGAAACCTGAGTCTGTTTCTCTACAATTAACCATTTCACACCAAACCACTCTGAATGAATTTACATCTCAGTAATAGAACTTTACTGAAATCTTTGAAAAATAATGGTCTATAATGGTCTAGAATCTATCAGAAGTTTGTTAGGCTCTGTTCCTCCCTTTCTGGAATCTCTTTGGTCTAGAGTGAGATGGTAGCTCCAAAATGGGGATTGCAATCTCAGTGGAACACTGATGCTGTCAACAATGTAAAATAATTACATCAAACACAGAAAAGGAATTCATAACTGCATGTGAAGAATTAAAATGTAACTGAGTAAGAAGTAGATCACTTTCCTTGCAAATATGCTTAGTAGAAAAACGTTTGAAAGCTTTAGGGAAAGTACAGTTCATTAGAATGTTACCTGAGTAAATGTTACTGCCCTCCTCTGCCTTTATATAGCTTGGCTTAGGAATGAATGTTTATTGAATTAAGATGCATTTTCCCTCTTTAGTCCCCATGATAGATCGGTCCAGACTGGACAGGGTTCTGCCATCCTGTCTCTACTCACCTACATACATAGTGAAGGATTTCCCCATCGCACGCTATCAGGGCCTGCAGTTTGTGAGTAACGCTGTGTCTTAGCCATTAGGTGCTGATACGTATATAATGACAGAAATATACTTAACTACATACAAATTGGTCAGCAAGAGCTAAACGTAAAACAAACTTGCATATTATAATCTGAAGTCGCTGATGAATATAGATTTTTTGCTGGAATCCTTTGATGAAGTGAGCAAACAGTGCCCCCTATTGGACATTACTGCTCATTACCAGTAGAAATAACAAATCGTCGCTGTCCAATGAAAAACATGCATCTCCGTTTTTTGCGATTTTCACTTTTCTGCATCATTTGAGCTCAGCAGCTGTCCTTTACATTGTGTGATTTCAAGATGATTGGACCAACACAAATGCTCCAAAATTGCTTAGAATAAAATCTCTTTCCATTAACTTACATTGAAAGTAAAGAAAGTTTTTCCCCTCTCCTGTAAAGTTACCATATTGGAGACACTTGTTTTTCTTTGGACAGAGACAATATATTCTTGTATGCTCATTGCTGAACATATTTACTGCTGAATAGAAATGATTGAAAATATAGTTATACTTTATCATAATTGTTTAAGGCAAATGTTGTTCTGATTTCAGCTTTGCTTTTTTATTCCTTTTAGGTGTATCTGTCCTATGTGTATCCCAATGATTTCACCAGACTCACTCACATGGAGAGAGAGAACAAGTGCTTCTACAGGGAATCTCCTGTGTACCTTGAAAAGTAAGGTTAACCAGCTATTATTATTTGTATTATATTTAACAAAATCTTATTATGAGGACCTTATACATATATATATATATATATATATATATATATATATATATATATATATATATATAGCCTTTAACATCATTCCCAAATGCAAGATATATTAAAAAAGATTTTACAGTGTTTATCATTTCTCTATGACTGCATAATTCAGTGTTTGAGGTATGAACAAAGTCACTCAGAGTGGTTTTAAATGAAATACAGTAGTTCATTGTAGGGACACTTACTGACTCAGATTTCTTTACTGTGGTGGTGATAGGAACCAGGGGTCGCAAAGTCCACAACACTAATGTAGACATTTTATTTACTTTCCAAAACCAAATCTGAATCTACATGTGTTTTCTTCACTATTTTAACACCCTGCATGTAACTCTCTGTCATGGGTAGATTTTAAAAAGTGGATTATGCCAAAATATATCTCAAGACTACTGTAAAACAATGTCTCAAGCAAAATACTGATTACAATTTCATGTAATTACTTCCTGTGAGGAAGCTTATAGAGGCATTAAACACTTCAGATGTCTGGTTCCTATCACCGCCACTGTGAACTCTGACTCTGCAAGTTTTCTAGAATGTCTGCATTTCACATCAAACCACCCTGAATGACTTTGTTATCTTAACCATTTACTTGTGCAGACATGTTGAAAAATCTGTAGAATTCCCCTTTAATGACAATGCAGTGAATCTAATCTTAAGTGTAAGATGTTACAGCAGCTCTCCACATTGTGCTCTGTGTGCATCTAAACAGGTTTGGCTTCTATAAATACATGAAGATGGATGAAGAGGAGGATGACAGGCCCGCCTTCTTCCCAAATCCTGATGGTGTGTTATGACATGCAGCAAACACATTTGCAGGAAAGAGTTTAACAGTTGTCTTCATCTTATATGGGCTAATCAGAGAACTGTCAGTAATGGGGACATGAGCAGCTGTATTTGTTATAATTGCCAAAAAATGGAGTGAGTGGATGTGTGGGTGAGTGCATGTGCATGTGTGGGTGTGTGAGTGGATGTGTGTGAGAGTGAATGTATGCCAGTGTGAGTTTCTGTGTGTGAGTGAATAGTAAGCTGGCATTTGTGCAGCCTCTTCGCATTTGTATTAATGAGAGCATTGGAGAGGGCCAGGCCATAATGACAGTGATTTGCTGTTGATACGTCCCATTAGTGCAGCAGCCTTTTGGCCCTTTGACCGTCCTGTACAATTTACAAATCTAATGAAGCTGCGCTATTAATGGAATACTCCAGTGTTTTTTTTAGCATAATCTCTATCTTCTGCTTTGGTAGCTAAGGGTTGTTTGCCACAGACAATTATTTTGATGCATCTCTCTGTACTTAGTACTGAAAAACTGATGACTCGAAAAATATTTTAAATAGAAACCAATGGGCAGTTATAAATAAACAATTATGTGGTACTCATACAGGTCTCAGCCTCATACATGGAGTGTCTGATGTCTATTGCATGTTAATCTGCCCACAAGTACTGGGGTCTTCTAAAAGTTCTCAAAGTTTTTCTTTGAGGCTTTTACAAACATATATTCACAAAATCCAGCGACTGTCCATTGGTTTCTGAGTGAGTTTTGAGTCATTAAGTATTTAGTTCTTTTCTAAACACAGGGAAACACAATTTACAGTATGATATATGTGCAACACAGTGATTAGGGTGAAAAATGTTGGAGTATTTCATTAAGCAGCTGCACTTTGGCTGTAAAAGCAACACATAGCCAGATCATTTTCTTTTATTTCAGATTTTCTGGAAGAGGAGGAGGGTGTAGATCCAGAGGAGGAGTCTGTCAACCCCAATAACCATCAGGCCAGGAGGACGAGTAACATCAGCCCATCCAATCAGCTTTCAATTTCATCACTTAGCACAGTGTCTGCCAGCGCTAATCGAATAAGCCGAGACTCCAAAGGTTACATTTTGGCCCGAGAAGGCCGCTACTCACAGCTCAAAGGGAAACAAGCCAGGAGGAGGGTTAAAGGAGAAGGCATGGAAAGAGAGGATGGCTACTACAGCACTCAGGCCAAAGCACAAGAGGAAGAGGAGAGAGGAATGGAAAAGGAGAGGCAGCTGAGACGTGCTGAGATCATAGGCACACAGCATGAGCATCTGAATGAGCACAGAGAAAGTGAAGAAGTAGGAGATGACCCACAAATACATGCAGGACAGCGGTCTTTAATGTGGGTCCCCCTCAGCCCTGTGCAGCAAAGTAATAAGGTCATTCCTCTAAAGCTGAGTAAAACTTCCAAGAATTTCCAGCAGTCCCCTCTTTACGCTTTGGCCAGTCAGATTCTGAGTAATGCAGCACATCCTGCACCCATTGTCTTGAAGAGCAATCAGGAGAAAGAGATTAAGACAAACAAAATCTACATCACCAGGCCCCGCCCACCAAAAAGTAGACCAAGGGAGGTACCAAGGCCGCCAGTAGAGGTCTTCCCAGGGGTCTTCCTGTACCAAACCGCAAGAGGCAAAAAGCTTGTAGACCTCAGTTCAAGGTGGAAATCCATGAAAAAGCATGGTGGCCTTCCTCTTTTCTGGTCTAGCTTGTCCATGACAGATCATAAATCAACTACCCAACAAGTTCCACTGAAGCAAAACCATCAAGTCGTACCCACTGATCAAGAACATCAAGATCTAGAGGTTTCTCCTTCACCTTCTTTCAAAATTAGCCGCTCCGCCTCAGTGGACTCCAACGACTTGCCTCCATCCAGCCCAGACAAGACAGATGACCCAGAGATCCAACCCACAAAGGCCTCAGAGATGGCTGAAGAGTCTCAGCAGAGGAGGGCAGCTGAACCAGAAGAAGGAGGTGTGTCCCAGTACAGTTACGAGGACACAGAGCCACGGCCAGGCTGGGCTGAGGAAGCCATCAACTGGCAGCGGACTTTCACTGTGAACCCAGTGGACTTTGAGCTGCTCAGGTCAGACTGGAACGACCTGAGGTGCAATGTGTCCGGCAACCTGCAGCTGGCTGAGAACGAGGTGGTGGATGTGCTATCGCAGTACATAGAGCGGCTAAACGAGCGCAACGGAGGGTGAGCGGGCTTGCATGCTGTACAGAGATGTCTTGATTAAATCTGAACAACCAGTAGTGGCATATATTGATCCCTTAAATAGCCAGGGCCAGTCGGCAGTAACTGCCTTAGTATGTATTAAGCCTGGAATTTTAAGGAGTCAGTGAAATATTTTACACTTATCGGCCACTTCATTAGGTACACCTGCTTGTATATATACTCATTGTCAATTTTATCAGCTCCACTCACCATATAGGTGGTTCTTCAATGGTCAGGACCTCCAGGACCACCACTGAGAAGGTATTATTTGGGTGGTGGATCAGATCAGACACAGCAGTGCTGTTGCTGAGTGTTGCTGGAGTTTTTAAACACTGTGTCCACTCACCGTCCACTCTATTAGACACTCCGACCATGTTGGTCCACCTTGTAGATGTAAAGTCAGAGATGATAGCTCATGTGTTGCTGCATGGTTTGTGTTGGTCATCCTCTAGTCCTTCATCAATGGTCACAGGAAGCTGCCCACAGGACACTGCTGGCTGGATATTTTTGGTTGGCGAGTCCAGCAGTGACACTGAGGTGTGTAAAAACTCCAGCAGCACTGCTGTGTCTGATCCACTCAGACCAGTGCAACACACACTAAAACACCACCACCACGTCAGTGTTACTGCAGTGCTAAGAATGATCCACCACCCAAATAATACCTGCTCTGTGGTGGTCCTGTGGGGGTCCTGACCATTGAAGATCAGAGTAAAAAGGGGCTAACAAAGTATGCAGAGAAACAGATGGACTGCAGTCTGTAGAACAGCAAAGTGCACCTATATGATAAGCGGAGCTGATAAAATGGACAATGAGCGTAGAAACAATGAAGTGTACTTAATGAAGTGTCGGATTGGTGCACATGTATACAGTATTTTTTAATCAGCATATTATAATTGGTATAAGCTATAATTAGCCTGATCCAGTTTAGATTGTTTGTTAAGGCTGCTTTTATTCCAAAGTGCCAACACAGGCATTTGTTAGCTGACACAACAGAATTGGCTGTTATACCAGTTATACTGTTCAGGGTTGCCAGATTGAAAACCCTTAAAACCAACTAAAATTCATGAAAAACACAAAAATTACACATGAAAAACAGTCTGTAGTCATTTCAACCTCAATAGTATATACTACACAAAGATCTGCCCAAATTTGGTGGCACTTATTTCATTAGCAGCAGTTTGAAAAAATACACATGACTTGCAGGAAGCACATGCTAACATTCACCCTCCCAGGGTGGCAGCATAGTGAGATAAAGGGACACCTAGCTTATGGGTGGAATAGGCTACGATCAAATTGGAGGGGAAAAATCATAATTTTATACTTTCTGCATTTGTTTTAATATCTTTAATGTGCCATGTGAGACTATAGTATCTACAAAAATGCAAATATTGAATAATATCGGTAGATACTCAATATTAAAGGGCTCATATTACCTCCGATTTTTGCACTCGAAAGCAAAAATAACAAGCAGAAAGTTTTATTTATTGCACTTCTTTATCACTGTTTATTCCTGTAACACCTTCTGTGATTTTTGGTGTATATAAGTGGTGTGAAAGCTTGAAAGAGAGGTTGCCTCCTGCTGGGTTTGCAGCTCCGATATTGAGTTAGATCTTAATTCTAACCCCATTACTGCAGCAGTGTGTATTCCCTTGCTGTTTATCCGAAGCATCTGCTCTCAGCAGGAAGCCCATACAGCATTATTATAACGAGAGGCAGTGTTGTATCTACTAACACTTCCACACGTTAAAGAACCTGGGGGAGGTTGCCTATTGAGAGTTGCTGAGGCAGCAGCTTTAACAATGTGCTCTCTCTCTCTTTCTCTCTGTGTCTGTCTCTTCCTCTGTCAGGATCTATACCCTCCTCCGCGTAGTGAATGTGGAGAAGCGAAGGGATTCGGCCCGTGGGAGCCGTTATTTGGTGGAGCTGGAGCTGATGGAGGCGGGGAAAAGAGTGGTGCGTCTGTCTGAGTACATCTACCTCCTTCTCCACCGCAGCCGTCAGGACGAGGGCTTGAGCAGCAGGGAGGTGTCTACTCCTTCTGCCCCGACTGCACCCTCTAAACCCCCTGCCCCCACCAGCAGCTCCAGTGCCCAGTCCAGGGCCTCCACACCTTGGGGAAGCCACTGGCCCAAGCCTCTACTGTGCCAACCAGCCATGCTCCAGTGGAGGCATGACGTCATGGTACACTTTGTGGTGCCAGGTACTGTATATTGGTACTGGACTCTGAAACTTTATTTTGTCCCAGATCCTGACCTCCCTGATTGTTCTTAAAGCTGTAGTTTAGATAATTAAATTTCACTCTTTGCTTCACATGTAGTTGATCAGCCAAGACATGTTTAATGTTTTTTTAATTAAAGTTTTTTTCTAGTTTTACACTGGAGCTGCATGGCTAATGTAGCTAACAAGTAGTGGTAATAATAATAATAATAATAATAATAATAATGAACTTTATTTATAGAACACTTTCCTTACATGTAGCAGCTCAAAGTACTTTACAGACTGGTTATAAAGTTCCTGTCACTGATAAAATTGCACTGTTCAAAATCAGCAATAGAGAAAAATAATATTGAATAAATTTAAGTTGAGTTATTTTGAGAAACTAAGATACTAAGTCAATATTTAGAGAAAATAAGTCATCATTTTGTGATACCAAGTCAATATTTTGATAAAGTAATTATTTAGAGATACTGAATCAACATTTAAAGAAAATAGTTCATTATTTCATGATACTAAGTCAATGTTTCAAGAAAATAAGTCAATATTTTGAGATAATATGTGAATTTGTTGTCATTATTCCAAGATATGAAGGTAATATTTTGAGAAAATAAGTCAACATTTAGAGAAAGGTTATTTTTTTCAAGTCAAAAGTTTAAGGGAATAAGCCATTATTTTGTACTAATGCAGTTTTATTTTGCTGGGCTACCACACATGACTGATGAACTTGACCGGTGAGACTGAGCAGAGACTTTTTTTTTTGCCAAACTTTAAGAACTAGGGCCGGACAACAGTGTGATAATGCATCTATCACGTTCACTTTAGAAAAGGATACCCATGTCTGACTGTATACTATGTGGTGGTTTTCAAACTGTGAAGTGCTACTGTCTTCCACTACTGTAGCTCTGGTTCCCTAAATAAAGGAACGAGATGTTGTGTCACTGATGTGTGGCGATTAAAGTTGGCTCTTTGCCAGCGTAAATAAAAAACTAGAGATCTATTTACATCTTCTCACATGACTAGACTTGTTTACAGAGCACAGTGCACAGTGTGAGATGTGAGCTCTGTGTCTCTGGCAGTGAAGAACCAGGCTCGCTGGGTTCAGCAGTTCATCTCCGACATGGAGCTCCTGCACCGAGAGACCAAGGATGACAACTTCAGCATTATAATCGTGGACTTTGAGAGTGAAGATATGGATGTGGAACAGGCCCTGAGGGACAGCACAGTGCCCAGGTGAGTGCCTGCATGCTCAGGCCTACTTACACAGACCTACAGGTGGCTATCTGCATGGCCACAGAGCCACGTGGGAACTCCATGCTGAGGCCCAATTTGTCACACTCTGAGGTCAGCACCTGCATGCTAGGCCCAGTCAAACACAGTTTTGGGGCCATTCCTTTAAGCAAGCTCTACTTTCAGGTGGGGTTTGTTTTAAAGCAATAGAACAGTAAAAATACAGTTTTGAGTTTCCTCTTTTCTTCAGCCAAGACATGTTTGATGTTCAAAGTTTAGCAAGTAATGGAAGCTGGTATTTATGAAGTAGCACCATATCCACAACATGACCTCGTTAAGATGAAAAAAGATCTCAAATAAACTTGTGCATGCTGTTTCTAACACTGCAGCTTATGATATACTTTTATCTTTAACAACAGACAAAAGCATGTGGGTCATTCTGCCATTGCAATGGCAGATGATGTCCCACAACTTTGAAAGTCGTAAGAATGAGCTCATAAACCCCAGAAGGTTGATGTTTGTGTATGTTTTGTTTATAACTAAATTTACTGATTAAAAACTTTGAATTCTTCTTCTTGAATTTTTATTTTTATGATTTTTAGTCATGTTATGCATTAAGAACGGTTTGCCACAGCAGTGACTTCACAGATGCTTAAGTACTATTTTTAAGTAAAACAACAATTTTGATGCTTGTTTTTCAGTTTTTATCGTAAAAGTGCATTAAATTATTGTCTGGCTTATGTTAAAATTATTCTGAATATATAAATATAATTTTATTTTTATAATAAATCTTTTTCCAAAATTATTTGCAGAAATTTCATTTTTTGTATGGATATCTCAAATGAAGTCTCTTTTTATATTTCTGATCAATTTGGCTAAAATACTGACAGCTTCATTTATCACAAGAAGATTGTATCTGTGGTGTTACTCATTTGTCAGTGGTGTTACTCATTTGTCAGTGGTGTTTCTCAGGTGTCAGTAGTGTTACTGATGATGAATCAGTAACACTACTGACATGAATCATTTCATTTTAAAATTGAAAAATAAAAATAACAACATAAATAAAATATTTGTCATTTGTGACTTTGAAACCAAAATACCAGTAGACTGTACTTTAGAAACGCTCAGATTTTACTCATTTTGTTCATTAATATACACTTGTTTGACATACATTATTTTGCACTTGAATTACTTATAAAGCCATGAAATTTACTCTCTCTCTATTTACTCTTTCTATATATATAAACAGCAAATCTGATTCATTTTCTCCACAGTGCAACTATTCATATCAAACCATTCTAAATGACTTTATTTACTTCTTAAAGACTGATTTATGTAGACATTTTGAAACATTGCTGGTCTGTATGTGTGCAGGTATGAGTATCTGAGACGAGAGGGAAACTTTGAGAGATCTTCTGGACTGCAGATGGGGGTGGACACCATAGAGGCATGAGAAAAAAGAAATGACTTTATTTCTTTATTTCTGAAGTGGTCACGTTCATAAAATCTGAGCTATAGTAATTAATAGGATTTGTTTCCTGGTTGATCCTCAGGACAGTCACAGTATCGTGTTCCTGTGTGACCTGCACATTCACTTCCCTATGAGCATCCTGGAGAGCATCAGGAAGCACTGTGTGGAGGGCAGGCTGGCCTTCGCCCCCATCGTCATGAGACTGGACTGCGGGAGCTCACCTCTACAGCCAAACGGTATATATGAACTCTCTTAGGAGAAGAAGGAGGAGGAGGAGTCTTAACTTTGGGTCATGAGAATGGTCCTATATAATACCTAAGCAAACACAGGGAAAATAACTTAGATGACTGTGCAAGTACTGCCTAATGGCTCCACCTACAGGCCATGGAAGATAACGTCAAGTAATAATAATATAATAATATCTATATAGCAAGATGTTAGTTATAAAATGTCAAAGTGTTTTACACGAAGCAAAAATTAGAAACATTGTGGTTAACAGCACAGCTGTATACTACAGAAGAAAAAAGAGACCCAGTCCATTTGGCACATTCTAGCCTAAATGAAGGCATTTTTAATCTGGATTTAAAAAAATATCAAGCTTGCATTTTTAATATTTTCTGGTGCACTGTTCTAAAGTCTGAGCTCATTTCTGCTAAGTTCATAGGGCTCTCTAATGGAGTCAGTATTATGTAGTTGACATTATTCCCATACAAGAACTTCTCTCAGCTGGTTTTCTCTATATGAAAAATGAACATTGTTTCCAAAAATCGCTGGTGTCGTTTCCTGCGGTGAACAAAAATGCTCCAAACCCATTACGTTTTGGTGTACGAACATTTTTGTCCATGTATCACTAAACCATCTTCTGAATGATAAAGTTTAAGAACCTTGCTGTAAATGACTGGTGCACATTACACTAACACCCACACATACACCAGTTTAGGTGAAGGAGGGTTAATGAGCTCTGTTGTCTTCCATGTCTCTCATTACAGGATACTGGGAGGTCAATGGCTTTGGCTTGTTTGGCATTTATAAATCAGACTTTGACAAGATTGGTGGGATGAACACAGAGGAATTTAAGGACCGCTGGGGAGGAGAGGACTGGGAGTTCCTGGACAGGTAATAAATATAATAAATACATTTTTTTCAGTAACCATTTGAAGATTAAACAAACGTTTGTCATTAGTGTTGGGTTAGTTACTCCAAAAGTATTTCATAACGAATTACGACTTGTTAGTCAGCTGTTGCATGTTGAACACACACGCAAAGTACATACAAGAACAAACAAAGAAATAAAAAGAAAATGTATGATTCAAATGCATTGCACATAATATTGCACTGTTAGAGACATGAGTACCTATAAATGATGATTTTATACACTTTCATAAATAAAGGTAGTAAACTGTCACTGGGGCAGTGCCCCTCTTGTGACTGGGGTGGTACCCCCAAGGGTACATCTCAGTACTTTTAGTCAGGTATCATAACTGTACCATAATCCACTGAAATTATATTTTCTAAGTTGTATTGACTCCACACCCTGTCTCGTCTCCAGGCTTTTTACTTTATTGATCTGTTTTAAAACATTGTTATGAAAAGATACAAATATGTGCTTTTCACCTGGAAAAACGTATTTAAGATACACAATAGACAAACGCATCAAAATGCTTATACTTAAAAAAAAAAGTTTTTAGTAGGAACATATATGCATTTATGCTTTTGACACTAATCTCATGGAATTACACAGCTGCATTAGCCTTGTAGCTTCAGCGCAAAACTGAAGAAGCAAACTTGTATTGGCTTATTGGCAATGTTTGGGATGAGGGAAAAATGTTATGTTAAAAATGTTAAAAATTATTCCCTTAAATGTGGATGTAGCATTTATAACTAGTTTGTAATGCAGAGTACACTACAGCTAACACCATGGCTCAGTGGAAAAGATATAAACATAACCCTTTGTCCCTCTTCCTCACTTTCTGTCCCTCTTTCTCTGTTATCTTCCCTCCTTTTTGCTCTCAGGGTGCTGCAGAATGGTTTGGAGGTAGAGAGACTGAGACTACGGAACTTCTACCATTATTACCACTCCAAACGGGGCATGTGGAACAGTCCAATAAAGAAGCCGACACAAGGCTAGCCACCGGGGACACTGCTGCCGCTGCTGAGCTGAGGCAGAACGTGCCCATTAAAGCCCCTGGAGCTTTCCAGAAGCTGCCCCAAGAGTTACAAAGCACAGCTTGTGGGTCTTGCACACTGAGTCTGCTAACACAGATGAACTGATGTGTCAAGGCTGGATCTCTATCTGTTGGCTAAACTGTGACATAATGTACTTTTTTGGTCCCCTGGAACAACTGGGGGACACAGAAAGTGCCAAACATAGCAGCGTAAAGCAGAACTTACTCAAGTTCTCTGGAGTTTATGAATATTATCTTTTACTATTATTATTTTTTTGCAATAGAGAGCACTCAGGTATGGTGTTGTTTCGGTACGTTGGTTGATCTGTAGTTAATATGGAGACATTTGAATTGGTGCTTTCTAACATTGACAATGACATTGAAGAAGGTTGTCCAATATACTATGGTGTTCTTGTTCTCTCTCTCTCTCTCTCTCTCTCTCTCTCTCTCTCTCTCTCTCTCGCTTTCTCTCTCTCCCTCTCAAAACTAGTGAATGATTTTATATAGGAGATGTTGTTTCTACTTCAGATAGAAAGGTGACAAATTGCTGACCTGCACCCCTAAATCAGATTACAATTAATGTTTCCCCATTAGGAGGCTAAAAAAAAAAAGAAGAAAAAAAGAAAGTGGTCACTTGTGCCATATTTAAAGGATAATTTCTGTGAAATTGTTTGTAGAGAATTTAAAGAATGTAAATCGATCTCCTTTTCTTTTATTTTCTTATTTTCAAGAATAAACGGAGGAATAACTCACTTTGTTGTGACCATTACCTCAGGTCCATACTGCATATATCCACAAGAGGGCACTCGCGTACACGGAAAGGGGAATTCCACCAATTGTTCAAAATTTCCTCATAATTAAATTCTTAACAAAGTCATTCAGGGTGATTTGATGTGAAATTCTCTATTCTAGAGAAACTAGCAGTCAGAATTGTTCACCACAGTGGTGATAGGAACCAGACGTCTGAGGGGTTTGAAGAATGATACTTAACATGACATTTTTAGAAACATGCCGCCTGATGCCTGAGACAATATGAAGGGCGCAGTAAGACAAAATAGGTCCCGAAGAAATGAATTATTTTCAGGTTTATCACTATTTTACCATCATCAGCATCACATGAAATAACGCAGAAGACACGTGTATGTTCACTGGTCACTTTGGATAGAGGAAATGGCTAATTTGCGTTTTGCGTTGTAAACATCATGACCCCCGGTTTCTATCACCGCCTCTCTCAGTGTCTCTACAATCACAACCACATCAAAACACCTAAATAAATAAATAAATAAATAAATAAAGCTCAACCACTAAATTATACACAAATTTTGAAAAATCGATGGAATTCCCCTTTAACTGGTAGCTCCTATTTTAATACAGTTAAACTGAAAGTTGATATTGTCTTCTAGTCGCCTTCTCTTACTCTGATTGGCTGAGAAGAGTGACTGGTAGCCAATAATCTTATTAACTCTTCCTTCGCCCTGGTTGGCTGAAAAAAGCTCCGTTCTGATTGGCTCTGTCATTGGAGTGGCATGCCAAAACTTTCCAGCTGGTCCTTCGCCCTGATTGGCTGAGAGAAGTCCGTCAGCTGACTCACAGGCAACAAACTTCTCAGCTGTTTCTCCTCGTTCCGCTTCCACACGCGCTCCACTCGGCCGCGCGCTCAGATACTGTTTGCCTTAAAACAACAACCAAACAGATGGACGCGCGTTAACTGTGAAAACAGCAGCTTTTTGGAGTGCAGCCGGACTTTCAGCCTTCCTCTACCTGCAAGCGAGCCTGGATCGTCCTGTACCCGTCAGACTCGCCGAGATGGCAGCTTTAAGCAGCCTTAACGTGAAGACTCTGGAAGATCTGACTCTGGACTCAGGCTATGGAGCAGGAGACTCGTCCGGGTCCCTGAGCCTGTCCTCGTCAAAGTCCAACTCCCAGCTCGTCTCGGCTCCTCATCGGGGCAACTGGTGGCAGTGCTCGGGCTCCATGGACAGCAGGCACGGCAGTTGGGACACGGTGAACACGGTTCTGCCGGAGGACCCGGAGGACATTTTCTCCAAATGCCCGCGCCTGCCGGATCTGGAGGAGTTTCCGTGGACGGAAGATGACATCGATGCCGTCCTGCGCAAGGCTGCACCGGGCGCGTCGTTCACGGCCGACTTCGTCCGCCGCTTCTCCGCGCTCTCCCGCAGGGCCCTGCTGCGCGTGGCCAGGGAGGCGCAGCGCCTGAGCGTGCTGCACTGCAGGTGCACGCGCTTCGAAGTGCAGAGCGCCGTGCGCCTGGTGACCAGCTGGCGGCTCGCCGAGAGCTGCCTCGCGGCCACGGTGAAGGCCATCTCCCTGTACAGCATGAGCTCCGGCGAGTCTTTGCGCAGGGGGAAGTCCGCGCGCTGCGGCCTTGCGCTCTCCGTGGGCCGCTTCTTCCGATGGATGGTGGACACGCGCGTCTCCGTGCGCGTGCACGAGCACGCAGCCATCTGCCTGGCCGCGGCCGTGGAGAGGCTGATGGAGGAGGTGGCTGGGAGGGCGCTGGAGGTGCGCGGCGGAGGTGCCCCCTGCTGCGTGGTGCACGTGGACGCCCTGGAGGCAGCGGTCAGTAACGACGCAGAGCTGTACGGCCTCCTGCAGAGCTACGAACACCTCATCTGCGGGAAGAATGCCAACGGTGAGGAAAAAGACATGAAACAAGGCTAGAGTTTATCACGAGGTTCAGGATGTTAGGCCTGGTTTAGTGTTGACTGTGAGGGTCTTTGGTGCTGAGGGGTGCTGAATGTGAAGGAGTGGGGTGTTGACTGTGATGGAGCTTGGTGATGAGTGAGAAGGAGTGTGGTGTTGAATGGTGTTGAGGGTAAAGTAGTATGGTGCTGAGCTTGAAGGAGTTTGGTTTGGTGTTAATTGGTGAGGAGTTTGGTATTAAGTGTGAAGGAGTTTGGTGTTGAGTATGGGGTTCTTTGAAGATGGATGTAAAGAAGTTTTGTGTTGAGTGTGAAGCAGTAAAGTGTTGAGTCAGAAGGAATTTGGTTTATATTAAGTGGTCAAGAGTTTGGTGTTGAGTATACTGTAAAAATGGCTCATCAACCTGAAAAATTACCTAATGTGGGAGCAACTAAATTAACTAGTTTTATTTAATGAAAAATGTAAAACAGTGTATGAAGGTCTTTGGTGTTAAAGGGGAGTAAGTGTAAAGTCTAGTGGTTTAGTGTTAATTGTAACTGATATTGTAACTTGTTCTGATAAGCTTTCTTTGGTGCTGAATGGTGTTGAATGAGGAGTATGGTGCCAAATGGTGTTGAGTGGTGAGGAGTATGGTGCTGAATGGTGGTGAGGAGTATGGTGCTGAATGGTGGTGCGGAGTATGGTGCTGAATGGTGGTGAGGAGTATGGTGCTGAATGGTGGTGCGGAGTATGGTGCTGAATGGTGGTGAGGAGTATGGTGCTGAATGGTGGTGAGTGGTGAGGAATATGGTGCTGAATGGTGGTGAGTGGTGAGGAGTATGGTGCTGAATGGTAGTTGGGAGTATGGTGCTGAATGGTGTTGAGTGGTGAGGAGTATGGTGCTGAATGGTGGTGAGGAGTATGGTGCTGAATGGTGGTGAGGAGTGTGGTGCTGAATGGTGGTGAGGAGTGTGGTGCTGAATGGTGGTGAGGAGTATGGTGCTGAATGGTGTTGAGTGGTGAGGAGTATGGTGCTGAATGGTGGTGAGTGGTGAGGAGTATGGTGCTGAATGGTAGTTGGGAGTATGGTGCTGAATGGTGTTGAGTGGTGAGGAGTATGGTGCTGAATGGTGGTGAGGAGTATGGTGCTGAATGGTGGTGAGGAGTGTGGTGCTGAATGGTGGTGAGGAGTATGGTGCTGAATGGTGTTGAGTGGTGATGAGTATGGTGCTGAATGGTGGTGAGGAGTATGGTGCTGAATGGTGGTGAGGAGTATGGTGCTGAATGGTGGTGAGGAGTATGGTGCTGAATGGTGTTGAGTGGTGACGAGTATGGTGCTGAATGGTGTTGAGTGGTGACGGGTATGGGGCTGAATGGTGGTGCGGAGTATGGTGCTGAATGGTGGTGAGTGGTGAGGAGTATGGTGCTGAATGGTGGTGAGGAGTATGGTGCTGAATGGTGGTGAGGAGTATGGTGCTGAATGGTGTTGAGTGGTGACGAGTATGGTGCTGAATGGTGTTGAGTGGTGACGAGTATGGTGCTGAATGGTGTTGAGTGGTGCGGAGTATGGGGCTGAATGGTGGTGCTGAATGGTGGTGAGGAGTATGGTGCTGAATGGTGGTGAGGAGTATGGTGCTGAATGGTGTTGAGTGGTGAGGAGTATGGTGCAGAATGGTGGTGAGAGGTGAGGAGTATGGTGCTGAATGGTGGTTAGGAGTATGGTGCTGAATGGTGGTGAGTGGTGAGGAGTATGGTGCTGAATGGTGGTTAGGAGTATGGTGCTGAATGGTGTTGAGTGGTGGGGATTATGGTGCAAAAAATGGTGTTGAATGATGAATAGGTGCAGAATGGTGTTGAAAGGTGAGGAGTATAGTACTGAATGGTGTTGAATGAGGAGCATAGTACTGAATGGTGTTGAATGAGGAGTATAGTGTTGAATGAGGAGTAAGGTGCTGAATGGTGTTGAATGAGGAGTATGGTGCTGAATGGTGTTGAATGAGCAGTATGGTGCTGAATGGTGTCGAAAGGTGAGGAGTAAAGTACTGAATGGTGGTGACGGTATGGTGCTGAATGGTGTTGAATGAGCAGTATGGTGCTGAATGGTGTCGAAAGGTGAGGAGTAAAGTACTGAATGGTGGTGACGAGTATGGTGCTGAATGGTGTTGGATGAGGAGTATGGTGCAGAATGGTGTCAAGGTGAGGAGTAAAGTACTGAATGGTGGTGACGAGTATGGTGCTGAATGGTGTTAGATGAGGAGTATGGTGTTGGATGAGGAGTATAGTGCTGAATGGTGTCGAAGGGTGAGGAGTAAAATGCTGAATGGTGGTGACGAGTATGGTGCTGAATGGTGTTAGATGAGGAGTATGGTGTTGGATGAGGAGTATAGTGCTGAATGGTGTCGAAGGGTGAGGAGTAAAATGCTGAATGGTGGTGACGAGTATGTGTTGAATGGTGCTGAATGGCGTTGAGTATGATGGAGTTTGCTGTGGTGTTGAGTGCAAAGAGGAAATTTGGCGTTGACTGTGGCATTTGCTGCCTTTGTTTTGGTTTGTGAACCTGTTGTTGGTTGTCTTAGGCCGGTCTGTGGTGTCGGTGAAAATAATAATGATCTCTTTTAGGTTTATATTTCCTCGAGTAAGAGCATGCTCAGACCCAGATAATTACATGTAAACACTTCTCAAAGCTGCAGAACTCACCACAAACCTGTTATTATGTAGACTGAAGACTGAAGGCAGTTGAAAGCTCGTTGGCTTACTCCTTTTGATGTCTTAAACAATAGACTAGCTTTGTGAATACCATATGCTGACAGGTCTTTGGCAAGAGCTTAAATGTCTTATAAAGTCATACTATAGGGTTTGAGTTTGTGCCTAAATGCTGTATATTTAGACACATTTAACAAAGTGAAAATAAGGTTTTAAAAGCAAAGATATACATACCGTTGATAAAAAGGTACGTTTTCTCAAGTCTCAGTAATGTATAGAAGTGCTCTTGTTAGTTGTTGCAGCTGAGATGCTGATTTTGGCTACAGTGATGTTACATCACCTTTACAGCACTGTTATTGTGTCCCTATGACTCTGTCCATTACACTGTACTTCTAGACCTACACTGTGAGTACATTAATGAATTCACTTTTTTCTTGATCCTTTCCCTCCTCATTATTTCCTACATCATAAGCTCACAGATGAGGTAACTATTGAAAAAGACTATTCCATATTGCAGTTGAAGTTTGCGTGTGTCGTGTTCAGTAGCACACAAAAGCCTATTGTTCTTCCCTGAGCCATCCATGCCAAGCTGTGCGTGGATGGCGAAGTAAGCAGATACCAGCAGCGAGCTGAAAGAGGCCGGAGTGCAGAAGAATGGAAAGTCATCACGCTCTCTCCTCTCTGATCTGGTTTGAATCAGGCATTGGAGCAGGCCTGTGACAGGCTGGCCCATACAAAGCTGCTCGGCCTGGCACCGCATAAAAAGAACGACTGGAAGCATAATGGGAAATGAAAGTCTATTTTCATGAACAACCCTCTGGAGAGGGGAAATAGAAGGATTTGTTGGGGCATCCTGTTGAAATGGTGCATGGGCTAAACAGGGTGCTGTAAAACAGCTGGAGCAGTTCAGCCCAGTACACAGTGCCTGCAATAGAGCATATTGCTTCCTGTTTGGGGTTATTGGATCGAATGAGAGAAGCATCAAGTGCTCCTGTGTAGTTGTTAGTGGGCGCATTTAGTGTACTTTAGAAGTCCCCTGAGGAGATGTGGCCCTGAGAAATGTCTGTTTAATCCGATCTGCGCCAACATTCGCTCTCGGTGTGATTGAATGTGACAGGTCAGTCATGCCAAAACTGTTCCCAGATGTTCACTGCTTCATTCGCTGTTTTTTTTCTCAGGTGAAGCTCAATAGTAGACCTTTCAGAAAGTACAGTATCAGGTGCCAAATAGAATGGTTATGAAATAAAGGCCATGTGTAAACACTTTACTGTAAAAAGTTTGAGGACGTATTGCCTGCTTACTGAAATTTCCCAAGCAGTGTAATATGGCATAACTGCATAAGAAAAAAAGAACCGCAAAGCTTTTGCTTATACAGAACAGCTACTTTTTAATACTCATATTTAGCAGCAGCTTCATGTGCATCGAAATGTCTTCTTTGGTATGAAAAGCATGTTTTTGCCTAAATTATAATTTGAGTTTTCTTATCTAGACTTTTGTTAAAAGCACATATTCAAATTAGACATAGGCTGCATTCACACTACCAGGCCAAAGTGGCACAAATCTTTTTTTGCCTTAATATGACACAAATCTGATGTTTTCAGAGCTGTGTGGACAAGCAAATCTGATCGTTTCAAGTCTGACCTGAGCCACTTTCATATGTGGTCTTAAATTGGATCCATATCTGTTTCATGACCTTACTGAGAATACTCAATCGGAATTCATGTGTTATTTTTCCTCAGTGCATGCGAAATCATTCAGCGTTACCATGGCAGCAGCCCCAAACATGAAGTTAGTACCAGAAAAACGGCAAAAGCAACACATCTGGCCCTTTTTCACCTTCGTTTTGCTCTAATAATGAACAGCTGAGAGCTAATCAGAGCTAATTATGTCCGCAGTAGAGGCTTGTTCTGCTGGTTAGTTTGTTTGCTGTTCTTGACGTACATGATTCATTCACATAACATTACTGATTAGTATGAGCGCGTGTGGGTCGTTTCAGGATGGAGGTTTGTTCACGGTAATGACAGATGTGATTCACTTACCTAAATGAATGAACCATCAAGAGAGATCGGATCTGAGCAAAAAATCGGATTTGAGAAATGAGAAATTGTGATATGAACGTAGCCATAGACTCTTTCTGCAGACCCCCTAGTGGCCATTCTGCTGGCAGATTGTAAATTAACTTGGATATTTTTAAATAATATAATAAAATTCAATCATTTTTCCCTGTAATTAGGCCTGTGCTGGCAACTGAGTCCGCATTTTTAGGTAAACGTGGAAAAGAACTACGGTAAATGGTTAAACTGGGCT